TGCGCACCCTGCCCTGTCTGCGCGCCGCGCCACTGCGCGCCCTGCCCTGCCCGCGCCCCTGCGCCGCGCGCCCTGCCCTTCTCGCGCGCCGCGCCGCTACGCGCCCTGCTCTGCCGCGCGCCCTGTCCTGCCGTGCACACCCTGCCTTACCACGCGCCGCTCACTGCTGCACTGCTGCTAGCGCGCTCACTGGTGCACTGCTGCTAGCATGCTGCTCTGCTGCTAGCGCGCCCGACTGCTCTGCCCGCTATGGCCACTCTCAACATTCTCACCTTCGATTCGGAGGGCCGCCCGATAGAGTTCAATGCGTGGCTAGACGACTTACAGCTGTTCCTGCTGACAGACTCTAAGGACGGTACTTCGCTATTTCACCTCACTTCTGGCACCTCGCCCACCCCTAACGCCACAGCTGACAGTGCGACTCGGTCACAGTGGCTTACCCGTAACGATGCTGCTCGCCTAGCCGTTCGCAACCACTGTCTACTTGTTGCTCAGCTTGTCGACTTTGCTACTCACTGTCGTCTAGACTACGCCGCTGGTCTTGTTGCTGAGTCCGAGTCTGTCTGTCTTCCGTCCGTCGGGGGTGAGTGTGCTGTTAGCACGGACGTCCTTGAGGACAGGCAGGAGGAGTTCCAGTGTTTTGCCGCTGCTTTACCTCATCTCGTGTCCATGATGATTGCCCCTGAGGGAGACCCGGACGCACCAGACATCCCGACCCCGCGCTCTTACGTAGAGGCGATAGAGGGTCCCTACTCTTCTCAGTGGCAGACAACCATGGGCGTAGAGATGGCTTCCTAGAAGTCCACAGGCACTTATGTTGACGAGGTTCCCCCACCCGGGGCGAACATAATCGATGGCATGTGGATTTTCAGGGTGAAGCGGCCTACGAGTTCTCCGCCTGTCTTCAAGGTGTGTTATGTTGCTCGAGGTTTCAGTCATCGACAAGGAGTTGACTACGTTCAGACCTTCTCCCCTACCCCAAAGATGACCACTCTTCTGGTGCTGTTGCACGTTTTCGCTCAACGTGACTACGAGCTTCACTCTCTTGACTTCAGCACAGCTTTCCTACAGGGCAGCCTGCACAAGGAGATCTGGCTGCGCCGCCCACCTGGCTTCTCTTGGTCGTTTCCTCCTGGCACCCAGTGGAGCCTCCGGTGGCCAGTCTACGGTCTCCGCCAGGCTCCTCATGAGTGGCACGACACAATGAGGACTACGCTTGCGGCTCTTGGGTTTGCTCCTTCCACTGCTGACCCGTCGCTGTTTCTTCGCACCGACACTACTCTGCCGCCATTCTGCATCCTCGTGTACGTCAACAACTTGGTCTTTGCTACTGCTGGCACTGCTGGACTGGCCCAAGTATACTTGGAGCTGTAGAAGAGACACACGTTCATAGACTTGGGTGAGCTGCGCAGCTATATTGGCTTGCAGATCACCCGGGACAGAGCACGGCGCACCATTACCTTGACTCAGTCACACATGGTGCAGCAGGTCCTTCGGAGCTTCAGCTTCACGAACTCCTCGCCACAGTCCACTCCTTTGTCTACTCGCGACTCGCTCTCAGCTCTGCCTTCGGATGAGTCCGTAGAGCCGAGTGGCCCGTTCCCAGAGCTTGTGGGTTGCCTCATGTACCTGATGACCTGCACTCGACCTGACCTTGCTTACCCTCTTAGCATCCTAGCACGCTATGTTGCTCCTGGGAGACACCTACCAGAGCACATGGATGCTGCTAAGAGGGTGTTGCGCTACTTGTGCAGTACGTCGGGCATGGGGCTCGTGCTTGGAGGACGGGCTCGAGTTATCCTCACTGGTCATGCAGATGCTTCTTGGGTTGACGACTTGGCTATGCAGGGATTGTCACAGGGTTACACTTTCAGCCTTTGTTCCGGCTCTGTTTCATGGCGGTCTACCCGCTCATCTTTTGTTCTCAGCTCCAGTTGTGAGGCTGAGATCTACGCAGGGACCATGGCTGCACAGGAGTTACGCTGGCTCACCTACCTGCTGACCGACTTGGGAGAGGCGCCTCGTTCTCCTCCAGTTCTGTACGTCGACAACAAGGCCATGATTGCTTTGTGTCCAGGAGCACAGACTAGAGCACAGAACGAAGCACATTGCTCTACGCTACTTCCTTGCTCGAGAGTTGCAGCAGCGTGGTTAGCTTTGTCTTGCTTACGTGGCCACTCGGGCCAACAGTGCTGATATCTTTACCAAGGCACTTCAGCCTTGTGATCATCCGCGTTTTTGTATTATGCTAGGTCTTGTGCCTACCTGGCATCACTTGCTTACCTCTTGACTTTGCTTGTACTGTGATCTATATATTCCTGCACCTGCATGCTTACACTTGTGAGGTTGAGATCACTGTACTGCTTTTTCACCTTGATATATAACTCTGCATGTGAACTGGCCTTGTGGCCTTTTGCTTGTGCTCAGAATGCGTGGTGACGTTGTGATCCACCTTGAGCTTGACCTTGATTTGTTCTCTTGTTTGTCCCCCACTTTGCCTACGAGGGTGTGTCAGAACTATATTGTAGGCTGTAAGTGGGGCACTCCTTATGGGGTAGAGCCCTGTTAGGTTTTGCCTATACAAACATTCTACTGTTCTCATTCTAGTCATTCTCATTCCTTACTTTGTAACAGCGTGACCCTATATGATCGCGCCTGATTGGACGTGCATATAATTGACCAATCATGCGTGGCAATTTATGGTCGGGCGCATTTTATATTAATGCCCGATCATATATTTCCGTGAATAACTGCAATGCCTAGGCGTCAATGCACGAGACCTTTAATGACCGCGCTTAATTGGTCGGTTATATGCGCGGTGCCTTTTATGGCAATGCGCGTTGTCAGAATCTAGGAACCAAGAATGACTAGAAACACAGTAGTACGGGGTTTGTATATGAAAAACTAATTGGGCTCTGCCCCATAAGGAGTGCCCCACTACAGCCTACAGCATAGTTCTGACACACCCTTATAGGCAAAGTGGGGGACAAGCAAGAGAACTAAGCAAGGTCAAGCCCAGGGTGGATCACAACGCCACCACACATTTTGAGCACCAGCAAATGGCCACAAGGCCAGTTCACATGCAGAGTTATGTGTATATAGAAGAACAAGTAGGACAATGATCACATCCTAGCAAGTGTAAGCATGCAGGTATAAATATATAGATCACAGTACAAGCAAAGTCAGGAAGTGAGCAAGTGAGGCCAAGTAGGCACAAGGCCTAGAACAGCACAGAACCGTTGATGATCACAAGGCTGAAGTGCCATGGTGAAGACATCAGCAGTGTTGGCCTGAGAGGCCACGTAAACAAGATGAAGCTGACCACGCTGCTGCATCTCTCAAGGAAGGAAGTAGCGAAGAGCAATGTGCTTCGTTCTGTGCTCCAGTCTCTGCTCGCGACACAAGGCAAGCATTGCCTTGTTGTCGAAGTATAAAACTGGAGAAGAACGAGGTGCCTCTCCCAGGTAAGTCAGCAGGTAGGTGAGCCAGCGTAGCTCCTGTGCAGCCATGGCCCCTGCGTAGATCTCAGTCTCGCATCTGGAGCTGAGAACAAAAGACAAGCGGGTAGACCGCCACGAAATAGAACCGGAGCCAAGGTTGAAGGTGTATCCCTGTGACGACCGCTGCGTAGCAAAGTCGTCAACCGAAGAAGCGTCTGCGCGACCACTAAAGACAACTGGACCCCGTCCTCAAAGCACGAGCCCCATGCCCGACGTACTGCACAAATAGCGCATCACCCTCTTAGCTGCCTTCCAGTGCTCTGGTCGGTGTCTCCCGAGCGCAACATAGCGTGTCAGGTGTCAGAACATTATAGCTTATACATTTGTGTAGGCTGTAGTGGGGTAGCCCATAAGGGGTACAACCCAATTAGGGTTAGAACTTGTACCCAACTGTTTCATAGTTCATTCATTCCATTCTCACTTCTTGTCATGGTATCGAGCAGGTTCCCGACTGGGAATACTGCCTAGGGCCCACCACGAACTTTTTTTCCTTCCCTGCCCGGAGAGCGCTTGGCTCCTAACCCGAGTAGCACCTCGAGCCGCCTTAGTGGCCCCTATTGGCCGCCCTTACTGCCCCTCGAGCCGCCTTCTACGGCCTCACTTAGGCCGCTACGGCCCCGCTTAGGCCCCGTCGGCCCCGCTACGGCCCCGCTTAGGCACCGCTACGGCCCCGCTACGGCCCCGTCGGCCCCGCTTAGGCCCCGCTACGGCCCCGCTACGGCCCCGTCGGCCCCGCTTAGGCCCCGCTACGGCCCCGCTACGGCCCCGCTTAGGCCCCGTCGGCCCCGCTACGGCCCCGCTTAGGCCCCGCTACGGCCCCGCTACGGCCCCGCTACGGCCCCGTCGGCCCCGCTTAGGCCCCGCTACGGCCCCGCTACGGCCCCGCTACGGCCCCGTCGGCCCCGCTTAGGCCCCGCTACAGCCCCGTACGGCCCTGTCGGCCCCGCTACGGCCCCGCTACGGCCCCGCTACGGCCCCGCTTAGGCCCCGCTACGGCCCCGCTTCGGCCCCGCTTAGGCCCCGCTGCGGCCCCGCTACGGCCCCACTTCGGCCCCGTCGGCCCCTCTACGGCCCCACTTAGGCCCCACTTCGGCCCCGTCGCCACCGCGGCCCCGCCCACCATTGCGGCCCACCGCCACCTGCGACCTCGCCACCACCTGCGACCCCGCCTCCCAGCGCCCGCAACGCCGAGCAGCCGAACCGCCGGCCTCCTGAGCCGCCCGACCTCCCGAGCCGCCCAGCAGCCGAGCCGCCCAACAGCCGAGCCGCCCAGCACCGTGCAGCCGAGCCGCCCAGCAGCCGAGCCGCCCAGCAGCCGAGCCGCCCGACAGCCGAGCCGCCCCGCACCAGCAGCAGAGCCGCCCAGCAGCCGAGCCGCCCAGCAGACGAGCCGCCCTGCAGCTGAGTCGCCCGACAGCCGAGCCGCCGAGCAGCCCGATCGCTCCACCTACCTGGTAAGAGCACAGTCTCTGCCACTGCACTGCCCTGCCTCCGGCTGTTATGGCTTCCCCTAGCGTTCTCACCTTTGACGCTGAGGGTCGGGCAGTGGACTTTGAGGTCTGGGTAGATGATCTGCAGCTTTTCCTGCAGCGCGATAGGGCAGACGGCCTCTCCCTGTTTGACCTCACTTCTGGTGCCTCCCCTGCCCCCGCTGCTGATGCTGACGCCACTATTCGCTCACAGTGGGCCACACGTGACGCTGCTGCTCGCCTTGCTGTGCGCCGCCACTGACCGACCACTGAGCGTGCACACTTTAGCCAGTACAAGAGTGCTCAGACCTTGTACGACGCTGTAGTTGCACGCTACTCTTCCCCTGCCACTGCTGCACTGAGCCGCCTCATGCTACCGTACCTCTTCCCTGACCTTGCTGCCTTTCCCACTGTTGCTGACCTCATTACGCACCTCCGCACTAGTGACACTCTCTACCGTACCTCCGCCAAGAACCCCCCCCCCCATGTACATCACCCTCTACTACATAGTCACCCGTCTCCCTGACTCTCTCCATTTAGTCAAGGACCACTTCCTCTCTGTTTGCCCCACCACTCTCACCGTTGACCTCCTCGAGAAGGCCCTCCTAGCGATAGAGAAGAGCATAGTCGCTGTAGGAGCCTCTCGTGGTGACCCTCGCACCCCCGTCTTTGATGGGTGTTCTCCCTCCCCCCTCTTGCCCTCTGTTGCCTCTGCTGCTGTGGCCGACCTCGTTGGTTTCGAGTCGGTCGGCGCTGCGTCTGCCCCGAGCGGGAGACGCCGCACCGGCAAGGGCAAGGGGGGCAAGGGCACTAGAGGAGGTGGAGGGGGCGGTGGAGGTGGTGGTGGAGGCGGTGGAGGGAGTGGGGGTGGTGGTGGGAGTGGTGCTGGGGGTGGCGGCGGCGGCAGCGGCAGCAGTGGAGGCGGCGGAGGCGGTGGAGGTGGCGGAGGGAGCGGAGGCGGCGGAGGTAGTGGAGGAGGCGGAGGTGGAGGAGGCGGCGGAGGCGGCGGAGGCGGCGGCGGCGGCGGAGGCGGCGGCGGCGGCGGAGGCGGCGGTGGTGGAGCGAGTCGCGACTCTGCGTCGAGGAGTGGCGCCGGTGGTGGTCAGCGCCAGCAGCAGCAGCGGAGTGGTGTGACCCTGTCCCCTCAGCAGCTTCGTGAGTGGTACACTGCACGCCAGCGCGGTGGGGGTTTTGGTCCCTGCTCTTACGTTCCCTGTACCGGCGACTGCACTGGTGAGCAGTGCGGGGGTCCACACTCCACCCAGCGCTGCTTTGGTCGCCTGACGGACGCGTGGCGTCGCCAGTTCCCTGAGGCGTCAGAGATCCCTCGCTTGGGAGATCTGGCTAAGGCCAGGGTTGCTATCTTTGATCTTGACTTTGATGCTATTCTTGCTGCCATGTATGCTGTTGCTGATAGTGTTGAGGGTGCCCGTAACCTGTGTGTACCGCCTGACCCGGGCATTGAGGCTGCTGCGCTAGGTGCTGGTGAGACTACTGCTCTAGGTGCTAGTGCGTCTGCTGCCCCAGGTGCCACTGCGTCTGCCGCCCCAGGTGCTGGTGAGTCTGCTCTCTCAGGTACTACGTCGGCTCAGGCCTTCCACACCTTCACCCTGGACTCGGGTGCGTCCCGCTCCTTCTTTCGAGACCGCACCACTCTTACGCCGCTTAGTCGGCCGGTTGCAGTCTCCCTGGCAGACCCCTCTGCGGGTCCTGTCCTTGCTAGCTTCTCCACTGTCCTTCCGTGCCCTGCAGCCCCCTCAGGCTCCCTGTCTGGTCTCTACCTCCCCTCGTTCTCTACGAGCTTGGTGAGTGGAGCGGACCTACAGGATCGAGGGGTTGACCAGTTCACTCCTGCGAGTCAGCGAGTGACCCACTGCAGGTGTGCTCGGACAGGCCGACACTTGGCCACGTTCACCCGTCGGCCAGGGTCTAGCCTGTACACCCTTACTGCTGAGTCTCCTCCTACTGCTGAGTCTGCCGAGGTAGCTGCGTCGAGTCAGGTGTTTGCTGCGGCGTCCAGGTCTGGTCCTGAGTCTGCCCCCTGCTCGTGTCGTTTGCTGTCCCACCAGACTCTCCTTTGGCACCACCGCCTTGGTCACCCCTCCTTGCCTCGTCTCCGAGGCATGGCCTCCCGTGTCCTTGTCTCTGGTCTTCCTTGGTCTCTCGCTCCCCTTCCTCCGGGGCCTGGCCCTACCTGCGTCCCCTGCGTCGAGGGGCGACAGCGCGCCGACCCTCACTCCTCCGAGTTTCCTCCGACAGAGGCTCCGCTGCAGACTCTACACATGGACGTGTGGGGCCCAGCCCGCGTCAGTGGGCAGGGAAGAGAGCGGTACTTTCTGCTGGTCGTTGACGACTACTCGCGTTACACCATAGTCTTCCCCTTGCACAGCAAGGGTGACGTCACTGAGGTGTTGATCGGCTGGATCCGCGCAGCTCGTCTCCAGCTCAGAGAGAGTTTCGGCTCGGACTTTCCTGTTTTGCGTCTGCACTCGGACAGAGGAGGGGAGTTTTCCTCTGCCCGTCTGGGAGCCTTCTGTCGGGCACACGGCATCCGCCAGACCTTCACGCTTCCGGCCTCTCCACAGCAAAATGGGATTGCTGAGCGCCGCATTGGCATGGTCATGGACGTCGCGCGTGCGTCCATGATGCATGCGGCTGCCCCCCATTATCTGTTGCCGTTTCCGGTTCAGTACGCCGCGCATCAGCTCAACCTTCAGCCCCGAGTCTCCTTGCCAGAGACCTCCCCCGCCTTGCGGTGGACAGGGAAGGTTGGCGATGCGTCTGGGTTTCGGGTCTGGGGATCTCGGGCGTTTGTCCGCGACTTGTCTGCGGACAAGCTGTCCCCCCGTGCTGTTCCTTGCGTCTTCCTTGGCTTCCCCCCTGACGCGCCTGGCTGGCAGTTTTACCACCCCACCACGCGCCATGTGTTCTGTCCTCCCAGGACGTCACCTTTGACGAGTCGGTGCCTTACTACCGTCTCTTCCCCTACCGCACTGCGCCCCTCCCCCCGCCGCCGCTCTTCCTTGCGCCAGGTGCTACTCAGGTAGACCCCCTCCCTCCTCAGGGTCCTGCCCCTTCAGGTGTGTCCCAGGTAGACGCAGTCGAGCCTGTCGAGGTAGCTGTAGACTCTGGTGCTGCTAGAGGTGCTGAGCCTGCGGGTGCCGCGTCTGCGGGTGCCGGGTCTGGGGGTGCTGAGTCTTGGGGTGCTGTGACTGGAGGTGCTGAGCCTGGGGGTGCTGAGTCTGGGTGTGAGAGTACGACGGCTTATGCCAGCTATGCTTGCCTGCCTCTACTTTATCATGCTATTTCTAGCATAGGATAATCATATGCATGCATGAATTGCTTGATTTCCTAGGCTAGGTGCTTTCCTATATTTTATTATAGTTATAGCACCGAGCTAGGTTGCGTGCACCGAATTCTGGCTTTTCGGTTGCCACCGAATTGCCTTCTACCGAATTCGGTAAGGATCTGTTCGGGACGCTTCGCGACCCGCGGAACCTTCGCGTAACACCTGGTTACGGGGCCTTGTGTCGAGCCTATATATAGCCTCGTGTTGTACCTGTCGAGAGTCTAAGTAATTTAAGAGTAGAAACGGGGGCCTAGGCTTAGTAGCCTAGGCCCTAACTTAGGTATCGAGCGGGTTTTCCCCTAGGAGCAATGTCGAGTGAGTTGAGAGGGAAATTGGTGAAAAGGTGGTTTCACTATAGGTTCAGGGGTACATATAGCATAGAAACAAAATAAGGTGCACCACCAACAAAAGTTTACATAACTACACTAACTACAACTACAAGCAATTATAAAACATGACAAAATATTTCGACACGCCCCCATAATGCTTGTAGGTAGGTATGTAGTTACAGCAACAGCAGGTATCCCTACCATCTCCTCACCCTCCTCCTTCCCCTCCCCCACACTGCTGCAGAAGCAGCAGAGAAAGGGGGAAGAGAGGAGAGGTGGAGGGACGGCTGCTTGTTGCCTCACACCCGCCACCCCGGTACCACTCCCCCTCCTCACCCACATCCTCACACCCTCCTCCCCCAGCGGCAGCTGCAGCGGTGGGACTGAAAGAAGGAGGAGGGAAAGGGAGAGAGTTGACCCCACGCTCCAACACCCTCCACCCCCATACCCTCCTCCCCACGGCTGCAGGGAGACAAGAGAAAGGGGGGGGTGGGAAGGAAGAAAGCCGCAGAGCGGCGAAGAGGCGTCGGTGCAGATGGGTCAGGGGCGGCAGCAGGGAGTGCAGGGGCGGAAAGGCCCGTCGCGGGCCAGTGCCACGGGGCGCACGACGGGTAGCATAAAAGGGCCCGATCGTGTGCCTCGGGGCACACGACGAGCAGGGCACCATCGTGTGCCACGGGGCGCACGATGGGCAGTAGAAGGGCACCGTCGCGTACCACGGGGCGCGCGACGGGCAGGGAAGGAGTCACACGCCCGTGGGCGGGACAATGTAAAAATAAAGTCGTCACGCGCCCTAGGCGCGCGACCGGAAAACCTTAGCAGCGGAAGTGTAAAGTGGGCCCACAGGCCAGGACGAACCTAGCTCCGATAACATGTCGAGAGTCTAAGTAATTTAAGAGTAGAAACGGGGGCCTAGGCTTAGTAGCCTAGGCCCTAACTTAGGTATCGAGCGGGTTTTCCCCTAGGAGCAATGTCGAGTGAGTTGAGAGGGAAATTGGTGAAAAGGTGGTTTCACTATAGGTTCAGGGGTACATATAGCATAGAAACAAAATAAGGTGCACCACCAACAAAAGTTTACATAACTACACTAACTACAACTACAAGCAATTATAAAACATGACAAAATATTTCGACAGTACCCAGGTGATCATTCAATTCAATTTGAATCATCTTTTCTGAGCTCGATCCCAGATCCTCACACTTGGTAATCAGAGCGGGTTTACACGCGAGGTCTTCAACCGCTTAGTTCCGGCCTTTAAAAACCGCGGGGGCGACGACGAAAGCGCCGATACGGGTATGTAAAACCAGTTCTGCGCAATTTTTCTAAGTCCCCCTCGATTCGGTTTTCGAACACCCCTCAGATTTACTGGTGGAAAGGTTGGAGTTTCGACCGTTCGATCGAGTTTCATCTCAACGGCCCAGAGAATTTCGCCCAAAAAAGTTGGAATTTGGTGCGTCGGATCGATTTTCTCCTCAACGGCCAAGATCGGACGCGAATTTCGCCTAAGGGAGATTTACGCAACCTACAGAATTCGCGCTCGTCGATTCTACAGTCAATTTGACTCGCAGTAAGTCGACCAGCCCCTTGAATTCAATTATTTTCGTCGCGCATCTTCCTGTAAATCGCCAAATGGAGGGAAAAAAGAGATATTTTAGTACAGAAAATCGCGGAGTTACGTGCTGAGCATAAGCAAATATGTGCAGCGCTCCCACAACTTGAAAAACTCATTGCGAACCAGTCGGCAACCGCCACAGCAGCAGCGACAACAGTAGCAGCAACAGCAGCGGCAACACCGACAATTCTACATGCGACAACGGCAGCAGCTACAGTTAACCTCGAAGCAGTGAAGCTGAGGCTACCGGAGGCGTTCGATCCTACAGTAAAAAGGAACGACGTTCGTCGATTTGTAGCTGAACTCGAAATTTACTTCGAAGCCGTTAGATGCACGACCCCGACAAAAGACGCAATGCGCATACGGCTCGCAGCAACACTGTTACGAGGCCCAGCTCTAGAGTGGATCAACAACAGAATAGTCCAAGGCGAGGGGACGTGGGCGCAGGTTCCGGCAGCACTGATCGAACAGTTTGACACGTTGAACAGTAGCTACTACGGAACACGACGCAACAAGCCAACTAGTGGCATGGGGCGATTGGCACCACCCACGACTGCCGACCCGATGGAGAACGACGAGGGCGATGTGGAGCAGCGGCTAGCAAATAATGAGACGTGCAAATTTTGCGGCGCTACAGGACATCGTATCTTGGCGTGTTGGAAAATGAAGAGAAGGTGTGCGGAGCTGAAGGACAAGAACAGTGCGGCACCCCCGAAGCAGAAAACGGACAACGTGGCAACTTCGGAGAGGGCGAAAAAAGGAGAATATGGTGGCGCAAATTTAAAACGTCACGACCAGCCGGCACCAGGGGAAATCGCCGAGACTAATGGAGGATCCGCGAAACAAGACCCTGCACCGACCGGGAAACTCCAGCCGTATACCCCGACAAGTAAGAATATTACTTCTCGTGGGTTTCAAGCCTTTATTAAGGGAGAGTCAGAAATTAAACCGGTACCGGGTATTATGGGGACCCAACTTCAGAGCGCTAATACGGGTCGAGCGTTCCGAGGAGTTAATATTCTCTCCCAGCAGCACTGTTTAAAGGCTCCCTGTTCCCCACAGATGAAGCCTACACAGCTGCAAAGGCTTAGTGGAAGGTTCCAGGCCCAAGAGAAGCCGAATCGGCCTCGGATAAATCCTTCTAACCTTTCTCAGTAGAAAACTGATACTGAAGCTGCATCTTTGAGTGCAGGACCCAGGGATAACATATTCGACGTACCCTACGATCCTATAAGCGATACCATCTACGGATACTCGGAGCAGCAGCAACCACTAGTACTCGAGGTGATCTGCAACGGGCGTCGCCTCCAGACCCTGGTGGACAGTGGTGCGTCCCACTCGGTGTGCGACCGCGGGACGTTGGAGAAAATTGGATAATCCTAAGAAGAAACCCAGTTTACAGCAACGATGGTGGACGGTACGAAGCTTCCCATCCACGGAAAGTCAACACTGCAGCTGCAGATAGGGGCTTTGAGGTGGAAGCCGACGTTGCCGATCACAAACATCAAGGGATTAGATTTTATCTTGGGGCGAGATTTTCTGAAGCAGTTCAACCCCGAGATCGATTGGGTCAACAGCAAGGTGTGCATCTACAACAACGGGAAACGAGTGGAGCTGCGAAGCTTGACGGATACAGGGAGCGTTCCTGAAACGACACTGGCACGGTTCGAACGGACAGTGAACGAGAGTAACACGGGTTACTTAGCACTGGTTATAGCAGCAGCAGAGGAGGAGGTCTTGGAGCAGTACAAGGATATAATGCCCGACGACCTACCCACAGGCGTATCTCCAGCATGCACCCACGAGCACGAGATCGTGGAGGAACCAGGTGCGAAACCCGTCTCACGTGCACCATACCGACTGAGTCCAACTGAACTGACAGACATGAAAAACAGATAGAGTATCTACTAGACAGACAACTGATCCACCCATCCACCTCTCCCTACGGTGCACCAGTTCTCTTCACTCCAAAGCCAGACGGTAGTTTACGGATGTGCATCGACTACCGCGCACTGAACAAAGAGACAGCACTGACTACAGCGCCAGTACTCATCCTACCGGATCCAGACAGAGACTACGTGGTGGAAGCAGACGCTAGTGACCAAGCATTCGGAGCAGTACTGATGCAGCATCACGAACGCGGTTTGCAGCCCATCGCCTACCTCAGTAAGAAGCTACACGGAGCAGAACTAAACTACCCCATTCACGACAAGGAAGCCTTAGCGATAGTCATAGCCTTCAAGGCGTGGAGGTGTTACCTAGAGGGAGCCAAGACTACAGTCTATACTGACCACTGCAGTCTCAAATACCTGAAGTCACAGCCGACACTCTCACGACGACAGGTGCGGTGGGTGGACTTCCTGGAAACTCACTTCCACTACGACATCGTCTACAAGCCCGGGCTACACAACAAGGCAGACGCTCTGAGCCGCCCCGGACATGTCGCAGGCATGCAGCTCGACGGGATGAACCCTCTGCTGAAGGGTCTATTCCAACATGGGTACTCCGTGGACGCAGAGTTTGCTACAGCACAGACCAAGAAGCTATTACAGTGGGAGAAAGACTTAGCTGTAAGGAAGGGTTCAGGAAAGATTTGGGTACCGAATTACGCCCCGCTACGGCAGATCCTATTGGAGGAGTTTCACGACGTACCTTACGCGGGACATTTCGGGAGCAACAAGACGTTAGCAGGGATAGCGAAGTATTACTACTGGCCCGGGATGGCAGTAGATGTGCAGCAGTTCGTCACCTCTTGC